TGAATATTTCTAAGCATCAACAATATATTTCATTGATTAGAACGTCTTTCTGACAGTTGGTCAAAGAATAATTATTTCTTGATTAAAGTTCACTTTTCTCTTTCCTCGTTGCTTCTAATCATAACACGAAATTGTCCCAAGTAGAATTTGATCGATCTAAGGAGAGTGATACGAAGTCCATGAGATTTGCCAATAGAACTTTTCAATCAAAACTAATTCGAAAATGTCAATGGTATATGCAGATCTCAATAGAATGAATAGAAATATTCTTCTTCTAGAGGAAAATCAATGATTGAACAATCGAATAAATCTAAAAAATACTGATCAATTATTTTTTATCGAAAAAAAAACAATCGATGTAGATGAAGACTATTTTTTAATAGAATTATTGATTGCATCAATGAGAGAAATTGTTTCCAACCATTTCTATAAGATATATTGATGTTCTAGAAGAGATATTTGAAGAAATGCTTTGCTTTCAAAGTGAAATTGAATGTTGGTCAAAAGATTTGATTTGAATTTATATAGTTAAACTGATGAAACTTCACCTAAAAAATTCTATTAGCTCTGATCGTTCTCATGATTTTTATTCTCATTATTAATTGGTTCTTGTTAAAAGAACAGACAGAAATCTTCGAATTTCAATGAAAATTTGCTTTCTTCTCTGTATGAATATTCGAAAAAACAAACTGTTGATAGTTATGATATCAACGTAGATCTATTGATTGTTTTTCTTCATTTCTTCACAGTTATTGACAAATAATAAAAAAATAGATGTATGAAAGTCAAATGAAAGAAAGCAACGAAGCAGAAATGATCCATTTTTGATCAAAGAAAGTTTTATATAAAATGATTGATTCATCTTCATTTGGTTCTCTTGAACAAATTGATCTATAATAAAAGAGGCTCGAATCGAATATTCATAGAAAAGGGTGTGGGTGTGGGTGTGGGTGTGGGTGGGTGTGGGTGTGGGTGTGGGTGTGGGTGTGGGTGGGTGTGGGGTGTGGATCTGGAGTGTGGGTGTGGGTGTTAATGAATAGTACACCCACACCCATCCACACCCACACCCACACACCCACATCCACACACCCACCCACACCCACGACACATGACTTATGCATTGTTTTGCTCTCTGAAGAAATCTGAATATGAAAATCATGCAATATATACACAAAAGAATCAAACGAACTGTCAGATAAATCAGCAAGTTTATTGTACAATGTGCTTCAATAAATGAAAATCTAAACAAATACATAATAGTATAGTTCATTGTCAATCAGAAAAAAACTTTCGTTAGCTTTTCTAGTGACATATATATATAAGGGTTAAGAAATATGACAAATCCTTTATATAGAATCCATTGAGTGATTGAAAGTCGGCAAATCACACGAAAAAAGTTAGTCTGTTCCATTTCTGTTCTTTTCTAAATCACTAATAAAAAAAAGCTACTGAATTAGTACCGACAGCTCGGGTACAGGTCAAAACTAATGTTTTGTAGAGATAGTCTTTAGAAATCTATAGTTAAAGAGTAAACTGAGCAAGAGTCTTTGAAACTATAATTTATTCGATATTGAAATAAGTAGGCATTTCTTATCAGTTAAAGACTTATTCTATTTCGAAATTTCCAACTTGACTTATACTTCTGATTGTAGAGAAATGAAAGTATTCCATAGAACATTTGCAATGTTAATTAATTTTTAGGCTGCAGGAAAACTTGATTTGTATAACTTTTGCAATGATTTTATTCAGGAAAAGATGTAATATGACTTAGTATAGTCTCATTATTTTGAAGAATGACGACAGGGATACTACTAAAAATATATTAGAAAACCTAATATGATATCTAATATTTTATTGCTACTCTTAGCCTGTGATTTTTCGATTAAAACACAAGAAGAAACGAAAGCATTTTAAAAATGACAGCCATCTTTCCTGTTCATACTCGTAACACTCATGCTGTATTATCTGATCGTCAGATTACTCGGGCAATCAAACAAAGTGATGCCATCATAAGACAAGAATATCCTTTTTTTATACCATCAAGATTGGATATGTACACTAACATTCAAAAGTTCATTATTATTAATGTTCTTATTTTCATATCGGTATGTATCCAACTACCTTTCAGCAATGTCGACTATTATTTTAATGACATTGGTCATATCTTTGATACATGAATTAGAGCATGATATTATTCATAATTTATATTTTAAAAATTACAAATGGATTCAAAATATTATGTTTCTATTTATTTGGGTTGCTAAATGACATATTTCACCTTGGAAACGTCGTCAAATACACTTGAAACATCATCTTTTATCTGATCAAATCAAGGATGCAGAAGAACGATTAATTGGATTAGGCTTATTACAAAATTATAAAAGAATGACTGTTAGTATGCACCCTTTTGGTGGCGTTTTAGTCACTGATGAAATTAGTAAAGATGCGAAATTTTTTAAATTTATTTACACTGCAACTTCATGCAGCACCAAAGTTACATACATTTCTCCTTGTAAATTTAAGTTTTCTCAGTTATAGTGTATTATTTTTTGTCTATTCTTGTTTAAATTATGATATCAATACAATCTATGATATTGGTACATTTTATCCAATTATTCATACTTTAGGAATTTGCTTATGTTCATCAAATTTGTTAAGACAAGCCTGTTTAGTATTGATGTCTACTGCTTGTCATTATTATCATGATATTCCCTTGAATACTGTATATTATCAAAATCAAATATTAGTTTCGTGGTATGTACTTCCTTTTCAAATATTTTGTTTTTGATTTCTGTGTAACACATATCGTGCATCATTATATTCCCTCACAACCCTTTTATATTCGACATTTTACAGCTATGGCAGTAAAAAATCTTATGATTGAATTAGGTGTACGTCATAATGATTGTGGTATATTGTGGAGAAATAATCATTATAATATCGATCCAAAAAAAGATGAAAAACGGAAATTATATACTAAATGTTGGTTTGCTATGTGTCTATTGTTAGAATTTCCTTTATATATAATATGAGATATGATAGTCTTCCACAAACTTAATAAAAATATTCTAAATTGCATTCGAGAAAAATTATCCAAGAAAAATATAACAGGCGTTAATAACAATAATGATAATGAATTAAAAAATAATGAGAAAATGGTTAACAATTGTGAGATAATAATGAATAATGGTATAAGTCAACTGAATACACTAGTTAATCGAATTGCATCAAACTATGTATCAACAGACCAAATCGAAGAGATTAATAATAAAGCCGCTGAAACTTAACAAAAACTAGTGACTAAGGGTGTAGGGGGTGCGTGTGGGTGGGTGTCAATGTCAGTGTGCGTTTGAATGCGATGAATACCAACACCCACACCCACATCCACATCCACACCCACCTATACCCACACTCACACAGGGGTGCAGAATCTACCCGTGTGCGTCGACGGTCGTCGGGGGAAATTTTTCAAATTTTTTAGTAGCTGGGGAAATTTTCGAAGGTTTAGTAGTGGGATTTGAGAAAAATTTTTGATATTTTCCCTTGTAGGGAAATTTTCGAAATGAGTCTTGGTTTACCTGTATATATTAGTAAAGTCATGTAATGGTCGTTTTTTTTCTTCTCATTAAACTTTCGAAAGAGCGATTATCTATTTTCATAAACACAATTAATGTAAGTGTTATTAAAAGGAAAATGGCTGTTATGCGATAATCTAATTATACATGTAAAACAATCGATCAATGCCCTTCACAAATTAGTTAATCGCGTCACATTTTCATAAAATTGTTTATTGTTCAATCAGTAGTATCGATTGAATGCTTTTTTGTCTTTGTCTGTGTTCTCAAAAATCAGTTTGAGTACGATATGAACCTACTTCACTTAAAAAAAAAAGTAATTTGAATAACAATATATCCAAGTAAACAACAGGTGTCATGCTTTTATTGTGAATAGGTCGGACGAAAAGATAAAGCAAGAAACCATTGGAAAAAATATCATCCTGAAGAAAGATTTAAGTTGAAGATTTCAGAAAACGGTAATCATGTTTTTGGTCGAAAAATTTTTGTCGAAAGGCACTTGGTCGAAAAATTATTGCCGAAAAATTTTCGTCGACATGACACTTCGTCGACACGGCACTTCGTCGACAAGCATTTCGTCGAAAAATTTTTGTCGACACAACACTTCGTCGACAACGCACTTCATCAATAAACTCAGATAGATATCTGTTTTTCGTCGAAAGTCTTTTCTTGGTCATAGAAAGCACTCCAAATATGAAGGTGAGGACAAGGAGCACTTCAAATGTGAGGCAAAGGTCATACAGGGTACTTCAAACGTGAAGGTGAGGGCAAGAACCAGGTGAGAGCACTGGAAACCAGAGTGTGGAAGAAAATTCGCGGACCTCTTAACAGTTCTGTAGAAGAATTGATGGGTCCGTAACAGTCTCGAAGGGCTGCGAACCTTTCTTTGAAGTGCTTTTCGACGAAAAACATGTAATTCTATTCAACGGTACCCTGAAATTCTTCCATCGTCACCAAAGGAAGAAGGTTAATTACGAGATACTTTTAAACTTGTCTCCTGGCGGTGAGATAAATAAGAAGAAAATAATTCACTTGCGACGAAACGCTTTTCTACAAAAAAATTTCGACAAAAATTTTTCGAGAAAGTTACTTCGACGAAAATTCTATCGACGAAAGTGTCATTCGACAAACAACATAGCATTCTCAGAAAATAACTTGACCAAATGCCATGTTCGAAAAGAAGTAACTGAAGAATCCACAACAACTCTCAATGATGATGACAATACTGATATATATGAAGAGCAACAACAAGCAAATGTCATTTTGTTGCCTTCATGTCTACAAACCTCAACATCAACAGTATCAACAATGAATAATGCCACACTGCTGTCAACAACAACTCTAGATACTCCATCGGTTCCAAGTGCAACATTAAATATAAATACATCATCAGGACCCACAGAACATTTATAATTAGTGAATTCTATGCAAGATCAGTTGACATTCACGGCACAACAACTTACGAAAATTAGTAATACAATTGAAAATATTCAATTAAAAAAAAATAATAAAGCATCATCATCACCTTCACAAGAAGATGAGATCGAACAACTATTTGAGAACATTACATGTTCAAATGATTTCTTTAAATTGAAATATTTAGAAATAAATTATCAATTAGATATGATCACATGTATTCCTAGCTGCGCATGGAAGAAACAAGCACCAAAACGTTTATTAAGTTCAATAAAATCTTCATTTGGTATGTTTCAACATATTGAACACAAGACAGGTCAATCTCAATCACAAAAATTTCGAAGTTTAAAAACAAGTATACAATTACATTTTTTAAACAAATTACATGTATGGGAGTTCACTCAATGATTATTTTAGTCATACAAAACATAAACAATGGTTATTTTACAAAAAAAGTGAACAATATCAAGTTTGGAAATTTGTTTCTCCTGGCTCAGTTGTTTTAAATCGTTTACGAAAAGTAAAATTAGCAAGATCACGTGAACCAAACGATATTGAATAATAGTATTGGTTTCTTAATGTGAATTTGCAATGTGTTAAATAGTAGTAGCTTTTTGGAATAAATATTTTAATCCAGAAAAGTCAGTATTTAATTGACTCTCATACGTGGGGAAATTTTTCGAAAAAATTTTGTCGTCGGGGGAAATTTTTAATTTTACCGGCGGATTCTGCACCCCTGCACTCACAATTCTTTTACCCTTTTTATTTGTTATAACAATTTTAAATATTATGCATGGAGGTCAATCTGTAGAGAAAGCTTTGTCTTGGAAAAAATGAATCAACGATGATTAATGTGTACATGTCATCGTGTTCGCTAATGAAGAACATTTAAATGTAAACTGAGGAATAACGATTTGTACATTTAAATCGGTCAGCGTATCGTTCTCGAAATTGGTTTTTTCTTCTATTCTTTGTTTTTTCACTCTATTAATAAAGCTGCATTTAAAATAGTCTTGCATTAGTTGTCGATTACAAGCAGAAAAAAAGAAGAAAATATTCAATTCAAAGTGAAAATTCTCCAGTTTTCAGATTTCGAGAAACGTAAGTCATATACTTACTAGGTAATATTATATTTTTATCAACTCTCACTAATTCTATTTTGGATATATATTGCAAAAAAAATCATACATGAGCCTACGAAGAATGACGTTTCTTAATTTCTGATTGTGACCTTTTTTCTGTGTAATTTACTTAAACAAATGCTCGACACAGAATCCCGAATATCGATTCCAGTATCAATTGGTACTCTAACCGAACATTCAAACGCATTGCATCATGCGGAAACGTTAGTTACAATAGGTGATGGCCAGCTAACGGTCACCCTCACATTCGAAGGTTTGAAATTACAAAAGTGAAAGAAAACTGTCTCTGCAATCGAAAGTACACTATTGACGGATTAACAACCGCATTGCAAGCTATGAGATACATTAGTTATGAGTGATATAATCCTCATTTTTTTTCATTATATATATAAAAAATAAATTTATTGACTCATTTCAAAATAAAGTATGATTTTGAATCGTGTTAAATTACATTTTTTGTCGAAATGATGATCAGCAATTTTAATGTGCATTTGTTGTGAGAATAAAACTTGATTACTGGAACGATAGGACTATCTTTGTACTACTCGAAAATTAGGAAAAAGATATATTTTTATTATGGTAATTTAAAAATTTCAGGTCCTCAAACCTTCCACTTTGAAACATGAAATTCCGTAACGATTGAAATTCCGTAACGAACAGTATTTTTAGCTTTTTTATTCTATGCAATCATAGTTGTTAGCAGATAACGTGATATTATGATAGCTTGTGGAGAACTGAATAACTTATACGTAAAACAGTTATGTATATGTCACTTCGAGTCATAGTAAAATGCTCAACTCTCACATCACCCTCAAAAAAGATTCCATTTTTTGAAATTCCGTAACGGTCACTATTCTTGGAATAACTTAGCTCTGGCTAAGGAAAAAGCCGATGAAATTTTTACTAGTAATAGAACTTAATAGTCTCTGTCTATGATAAAAACTTCAAAGAGTTAGCTTTTACTACTGAGGAGATATAGGTATTACAATGTAAAAAAATGAAATTCCGTAACATTTGGCCATACCCAATACCACTTATGTATTATATTACTCTAAATTCGGTTTACTATGAAAAATTATATCGATCTCTTCATACGTGTGGTACCAGTACTGATGATTCAATGAGTATACGAAAAGAGTTTTTATGGTAACAACATATATGTTTATTTTTTTTTTTGCTTCATTTCAGGCTATACAAATGTAAAATGTCAAACTGACCCAATATCATCTACTGTTGTTACTACAGAAACGTTTGACGAAATTAATCTTGCTTCACCATCACCATCACCAGTAGATTCTGATATAGAAGATAAAAATGTTTAAAAAGATACGGACAAATCAACAGCCAAGGCTAAAACGAGCAAAACTGAAAATTTCGTGAATTCATCAGCAACGAATATGTCACCGTGTCTTAATAAAAGCTCATCAACAAGTTCAAAATCATACGATAATGAAATGAATTTTAATTAATATGTTAGAATTCAAAGACTAACTAGCGATGAGATCTGTAAAACGTGTTATCGTTTAGATGAATTACCAAAAATTCCATTTAAAACTTACATGGAAAAATAAAAACAACCAGAAAGAAACGACCAATTCAAAAAGAACGACATCAAAAGTCCAATTTTAACAAGTCATCTGTTAGATAATACTCGCCGTAAATCTAATACTGAACAAGTGACGAATACTATATCATCACCGGCATCAACATCAACGCTATCGGCATTATTGAGTTCATCAAAAAATTCATCAAAACGTTAACGAAGTTCACTGACTTCACCTGAAAAAGCAGCAAATAAAACAAATAACGATCGACAAGAATTATTTAAAGCTTTGTCACGTACATTTGAAACATTAGATGATACTGATCCAGCATTAGAGAAAATTGAAAGTCATGATGACCTAAGAGATTGGTGTCTAACAAAATTAATACGTACAATGGAACAACATCCAGCAAGAACCAATGAAAAACAAGCTAATAGTCGTCACTTATGAATACATAAACTCTTACGTAGATTTTCTTGCATGTTTGTCTTAGTTTTGCTGTTGCTGTGGCTCTGACACAACAATATTTCTTTTTGTAGTGGTAGTACTAGTAGTAGCACTTTTTTTATTCAAGCATTGTCTATTATATTCTTGTGAATTATTTCACTTTTTATGGCTATCAAAATGTTTCGATTGTCTGTTCAAAAATTGAAAAGATTATCCAACAAAAAAATAGATAGTGAAAAGAGAACGAAAAATAAACTTTCTTTATTTTAAACAGATTTGACCGATATGTCATTTGAGAAAAAAACAGAACTTGCTTAATACAGATATCTTGATAGAGCATAATGAACTTTTGTCTTTTGAAATAGTACAGAAATTTAAAGAGTTGAATATGTTTTATCACTTAATTCCCGATTATTTTCAATAAATTTCTTATTTTTCAGATACATTTATCATTCATATATTCATTGAAAACTCACCAACGGCTCAACCAGAAAAAGAATTTATCTTGAGGGTGGGTGTGGGAGTAATTGACGATGATTAACCAACACCCACACCCACCACACCCACAGCCTTTATTTACGAACAGGTCTTCTTGTTTATAAGGCATATTTCTATTGACTAATCTTAATTGTTTGTAGGGCTATCCCAACTTACTTTTTGGGATCTAAAGTTTCGTGATATTTTTTTTCTACGTCCTATCTTATGTAAGTATGATATATTTTGTAAGATCAATCTAAATGCATCTCAATATAGATCAGTTTATTGTTAAAATTTTTTCAGTCGATTTCTTTGGTAAACAATTTTTTATTAAACTCCAGTCTTTTGATTAGTATGTCAATGATATCGGTCAAGGCTATCTTATCGGTCCATTCCGAATATAGGAGTGTGGGTGCGAGTGAATTGACATGGAAGCCCTCGTCCTTCACTAACACAGACAATTACCCACCCACATCTACATTCCACACCCACATCAGCGCTCTATGAATAAATATTTGGGATCCAGATGCTGTGCATGCATAATTTCACCTGATAGAAAGATGATTCGGACCATTCACTGTTAATAACAAAACACGATTTCATCCAAGTTTTGCCCCAGAACTCAATCGAATAGCCGAATGGAAGTCATTTAAGAAAAAAAACCTGCAAAACGGTTACGGCATGAGATGGATGTCGGTGCCAGTGAAGAGGTAACTTATACCAAAATCCACACCCACACAGAGTATTGAAACAAAACTAATAGTCAATAAATTGTTCTTGCCTCAAGAGAAAGCTTCAGTTACAGAAATAGATGATGTAATTGCGCATAGCCAACCGTCCTCTCCATATTTTTCTGACAGAACGAAAAAAGCAAACTCGTATTGTAATGACGATTTTTCTTACTATGGTTTATACATCATACGATTAATCTTAGAACGGAGAACAGGGCGGCTCGTTTTACTTTTTCTTCCTATGAAAGAGTAAGGTTATGCAGTCGTTTTTTCGAAGTGAATTATAAATACTGACCAAATACGGATGTTTCCTTTAAGAAATGCTCACAATATGAAAAAAACTATAATATTGCTAGAAACTATTGACGCATAATGAAAAATGGTCATATGAAAACTATTAAATGATTGTTGAAATGATGGAGAAGATTTGATCCATACATTTTGCAATCGATGAAAAAAAATCAATCTTTGACTGCTTCGTATCAATTAACAACAGTACTCTGACATACCGAAAATACAGATTTATTCATCGAATAGTGATAAAATATCCATACACGTCATGTGTACTATTTTTTTCATTGACAATATGGAGAAAAGAAAAGAGAAGGGCTTCTCTTATCAGTATTGATTTCTTACCTAAAAATGAATCAGAGAACGAAAGGATTAATCAAGACCGTGTGAAACTGCGCACAGACTGCTTATTTATACGTTTTACGAACATAATATACCAATATTCCTCTTACTTGTACAACTGAACTACAATATGGCTGAAAACTCGATTTTATCGACTCAGAAAGCAATCGAAAAGACCATGACCGATACTCTCTCGCAAACACGTAAGTAGTAGAAGTCTCTTTTAACATTAACTGTTTTTCTCCAGTGGATCGTTATTTGTAAGGAAGGCCCGTCATTGAGTTTCTTGATTTTCCCGTCGGATAATACTTAGACAAAAATGATGCTTATTTTTTTCAACATGAGAAGGTTAAAAATGACTTTTCGGAAGAAATGAAGTCAATGTTATTCGGTTTTCAAGCTACATGTACGGTCGATGTATGCGTACCGTAGATCACAATTCATATAGTGACTTGCGTCCAAGTTCCTAGTGGATCCGATGTGTGATCAGATGCATACACACCAGTTAGAATTGTTCTCTTCTGCACGTCCTTCATTAATATTTCCAATGCCACTAAACAATCATGTTGCAAGCGTTTGCATTCTTTTTAATAGTACTTTTATTAAAAACGAAAAGTTTTACAAAAACAAACAGGCTGAGTGCGATACAACTTGTAGTTGGTATAGGTATGGATGAAGAAAAGACTAATGCCAATACACACACCCGAACCTTAACCCACACCTACATTTCAATCGAGTGAGCTGCAGCGTACAGAAGTGGTTCGTCGAGTTTGTTCTCTCTTGATAAACACCAGCATTGCATGCTTCACACATAAATGACAATCATAGCGAAAACCGAAGCTTCTTTCGTGAACACAGCGCACATTTGTGTAAATGAAAGCTTGTATCGGATGTGTTTTCCATTATTTTTCATGATACTCAGCATTTTGCATTATTCGTCAGATTGCTAATCGATTATCAAATTAACTGATTAAATCATGGTGAATCGTTCTGATTCATAGACGATTGTGAGAAATCATTTTTCGTTACTAGAATCAAGGTTTTATGCCGACTTTTAGGAAATAGTCCAAGTCAACCGGAAATGTACGACGTGAAAAAACTCGAAAGAATGGCAAATCAACTTGAAACTAAAGGGCGACAAGACGTAGAAAATGACCATGTCGCTGACGTTAAACAGCATAGCAATATGATGAATCAACGGAAAGTGCTCAATAACGACATACATGCATGGCGAAAAAGTGATTCAATTACAAAGCAGCGTAATCCTCGCATATTCCGACAACTAAGTCAAGGTGAGAAGGTTCGAATACTGTTATCTAGACTGATAGAACCGCTTAGCTGCTGTTCTGATATTTATCGTTTGAGTCAAGAATGCATATTACACATATGTAACTGTACAGATGCCTTTTGTTAGTGGGGTTGAAATGATCGATACCAATCCACTCATGTCGGTAAAGATATGCGGACTTACATATGTAGGCAGAGGAGCTATCTGATTTTGTTTTGGTCGAATGACTATGACTTCTTCTTTTCGCTTTTCAATTTTAGCATGTCGCGATCGGCTCGTACAAACACCAACGGTCATCGTAAGTTCAAGCTTCTATTTCATTTAACTTACATTTGTAAAATCATATGTTCAAGATGATGGTGGGCTTACCAGCACGTGGCAAAGTAAGATTGTTCTCGCATTTTTTAGAAATGGAAAATATAAACCCTATTATATTTTAGACGTACATGGCTCGAAAATTAGCTCGATATTTGCATTGGATTGGAATCAAAACAAAAGGTTTGTTTTACATTTCTTCTCGAAAACTAATAATCATAATGAATTAATAAAAGAAAAGGACGAATGACTTTTGATCGATTCTATTAATAAAACTGATTGGAAACAGGAATTGAATGGATTCGTAAATTTTTCTCTGTTTATTTTGTCATGAAACGGATTTATCGTTTAACATTCTGTTGAAAACGCGTACTCTCTTATGCATGTCAACTGACTGTCATTAGACAATCATTCCAGAATCTCTTGAAGTCTTTCACAAGTGACTCTATTCACGATGCATGATGTCACCAACAACATATTCACATCCTCGGATGCAATGGTGAGAATCATTCATTAGTTTACAGTCACCGTTTCACCGACCTAAAGCGGTAACTGGTATAAATCGATATGCACCGTTATTTACCTGCATTCATCAGTATTCACCAGTTATCACAAATATTCACTAGGACTGGGAAGTTATCATTAATAAACATTTATGGTACTAATCAATGAGTAACAGCACTATTACCCAGTAACTGGTAACGAAACAGTTTCCAAGTATCCAATAGCAATGCCGTTACATTTCTCAGCTACTGAGTAACGGATAACGGAAAATTTATGAATTTCTTTTTCGTTAGAGAATAGCTATTGAGGAAATTACGATCTTTTATGAAGTTTTATTAAAGACTTTCAGGATCGGAAATTCCGAATCCGTAACCGGTTTCTCTAAATTTCATATTTGATTTTACCGTCAAGGAAAAATTATTTGAGAACTTTGACCGAGTGATCAAGTATATATTTATGAGAAACGAAGTACAGATCGAATTTTTGGGCCACGCAAATCTGTGATCAAGCTTTATAGAAAATTGTAATTTTCTTTCAACAACCGTTCGTTGACGAAAGAATCAAATCCATGAACTTGCAGTTACCTCATAAATGGTAACGTAATGTTAAACTTCCCTTCCATCATATTCACCCATGTTCACAAATGAATACCGGCTACCGATTCATACTGATGACTGGTAAGACGGTTATCGCTCTGCTACGACTGTCGTTGGACCGGTTTTCATCACCGCTGCATCCCTATAAACATGAATAAAACTCGATGTATCGATTCAAATGAAGATTGAGAAAATCGTTCAGAAATTTTCATTTGAAAATGATCATATTTCTTTCACTTCGGTACATGGAACAGAGAAAGTCGTATGTCAACTAAATTACGAGGTTGACATGATATTCATCATTTTTAACTATTCTACTCTACAAACAAAAACCCTCTGGAAGAAAATATTCATATAAGATCAAAACTTCGCTTTTGTGTTTACAGTATTCAATGTTGGCGACTATCGTCGTGATGCTGTAAAATTCTATGCAGGCAAGGAATTTTTTGATCCTGACAATGCTGAAGCAGTAGCAATTCGAAAGTAAGTATTTGTCCATGTCAGATACAAGTTCATGTTGAACAATGTCAATTCAATTTATTCTTATAGTCAATGTGCCCAAAATGCATTGGAAGATATGTGTAACTTTCTTCAGAACGAAGGTGAAGTGGCCATATTTGATGCAACCAATACGACCCGTGAGCGACGCCGTACAATATACAATTGTTGTACTGAAACATACTGTTTTCGTGTGTTTTTTGTCGAATCAATTTGTGATTCGCAAGAAGTCATTGAAGCAAATATTCGAGTATGGAAGTGAAGTAAACTTCTTTCTAGTTTATAAGACTTGTTTGAATATGACAGGAAGTGAAACTCAAAAGTCCTGATTACAAAGACATACCACAAGCAGAAGCCGTCGAAGATTTTCTTTCACGTATTGAACTCTATGAAAAACAGTATGAACCCATTGATGATAAGATAGAAGAAAAGCATTATTCATTTATCAAAATTTATAATTGTGGTGAACGATTTCTTGTTCATAAGATCGGTGGTAAGTATAACATGTTGATAAACTAATATTTCACCTTTATAATGTTCATTCTAGGCAATATTCAAAGTCGTGTCGTTTATTTTCTCATGAATATCCATGTTCTTCCGAGAACTATCTATCTTACTATGGTCAGTTATAGGTTTTTTTAATTGATGAAAACTGATTTATTTCAATATATTTCAGCATGGTGAATCAGAAATGAATGTTCAACAGCGTATAGGACGCAATTCACCCTTATCACCAACTGGCAAAGCGGTATTAATTGTCATTGATTTTCGATATTCGCCATTATTTATATATGTTTTTATTATAGTATACCGACGCTCTCGCCCAATACATCGCGAATGGTGAGCTTTTCTAGAATAATGATTTTGCAGTGATTTTCTTGTGTGCAAAATAGAAAACATCAAGGATTTGATTGTTTGGACAAGTCAAATGCAACAAGCGATCGACACAGGAGCAAAAATTAATGCTCCCCAGGAGCAATGGAAAGCACTCAATGGAATTCATGCTGTATGAAGATTTAGTCTAGAGTCATTATGATAAACAAAGTTTTCGTAATTATCTAGGGTATTTTCGAAGGTTTGACCTATCAAGAAGTGGCTGAACGCTATCCTGAAGACTTTGCTGCTCGTAATCGATCAAAATACTATTATCAATATCCGGGAGGAGAGGCAAGTTGTCATTTTGTCCTGTTTCATAGACATGCATGAGACTTCTATTCTAATCTAAGAATAAATTTGACTTTGTAGCTTTAAAGTAAATTATCAAAAACTATCTATACCGATTCTCGAAACTAATGGGAACATGTCTTGTATTTTCTATCGCTGATTTTCACTCTTAGTTCGAAATCGAAAACAAACTCGTATATCATATGACGCTGATTTGTAAATAGAAAAATCTCATCAGACACCATTGGTTCAGATTAAAATGCACAAATTTTTATTATGATGATCCATCACTTTAGTTACAGTTTGTAGAAGTTAGAAGTCGTCGTACGAGAAGATTTGGAATAGACCAACTAACTCTTAGTTACTACTAAATGTATTAAGCAGCTATGTGTAGATAAGATTGAGTTGAATATTGACTTATTTAAAACACTTTTGAACTGAAACAGATGTTTCTCTAACTTGATTAGTTGATGTTTGAAGAGTTTGCTGGTGATTTCATCGTTTATTTCTCTTTTTTTGTCATATAGTCTTATCATGACCTTGTTGCTCGACTCGAATCAGTGATTATGGAACTGGAAAGAGCAGAAAACGTACTTGTTATTACTCACCAAGCTGTAATTCGTTGTATTCTTGCTTACTTTCTCGACAAAGATCCTGGTACGTAGAAGTCATTCTGTTTTATATGATATTATTATATATGAAACATCACCTATGTTAATATCGATTATATGCATTTAAATATAGAGCGTCTACCTTATATGAAAGTGCCATTGCATACAGTAATTAAATTGACACCGATGGCTTATGGATGTATGATGGAACGTATACCACTATCGTTTGAAGCTACAAACACAAATCGTAGTAAACTGAAGGTAAACATGAATCCAAAACGAACACTATTATGCTTTTGTTTATTTTTCGTTTTCTCTCCTATCTAGAATTGTGAACCCAATCTAGCAGTTGTAGAGGCACTTAATGAATTTCCCAGAGTACGTCCGGAAATCAAGATTGGTCCAAGAACAACTCAGGTCATTTACCAGAATACTGGTACAGCTTTTGAAACAACTGACGCACATGGGAATCGAATACAACGTATGGACAGTACGATTAGTGATGTTACATGGGATAATAGTTTTCCATCGGTTCACGATAGTAATATCTAACAACCATAAACACCTAACTGAAGATATTTGTCAACAAACTTTTCCATTTTTCACTATACGCATCCGACTATGTAGCTTGTATTTCTTATTTTATTTCTTCAAGTTTTCTTATGATTTCCTATCTTAGCGGTGTAGTCCTGGGTGTGAGTGTGGATGTGGATGTGGGTGTGTGTGTGGGTATGGGTGTCGATCTGGGTGTGGATGGATGGAGCGTTCGTGTGGGATATTGGGGTGTGGCTATGGATGTGAGGTGGGTATGTGTGTGGGTGCGCTGTGGGTGTGCATGTGGGTAGGCTGTGGGTGGGCTGTGAGTATGAATGTGAGTGTGGGTAGGTGTGAATGTTGGTCTTTTGTCGTCCTACACCCAAACGTACACACACATCCACACCTACAACCACACTCACACACACCCCACCACCACCCCCACACCCACCCATACCCACACCCACATAAAAAGAAAAAATTCTGAACAGAAAAAAGGTAATCGGAGTAAAATTTTATATAGATTTTAGAGTGCGCTTGCGGGGAGGGGTGGGAGGAATGTACGAGTAAGAGTGAGGGGAGACCGATGGGAGAGAGAGCGCGGGCGAGGGTGAGGTGAGAGTTAAAGCAATTTAGGAAGCGTATTCTATTATGTTATACTTGTGTTTATATTTTAGCTGATAAAATTTATCCTCATTACCTAAAAAAGGTACTCGGACTTTTGTTGAAAAAAATGGATGCTAATGCTATTAGCACTGAAATTCCATATAAACTCTTCATTTTATTTTACTTGAACATTATTTTGTTTTTGTTTTTCGAAAAGTGATCAATTGAGAAATGGTACAGATGGTCGATCAATATGAGGAAAAGATTTTGAAGATGAATGTCATCCCCAATTAAAACATGATCACCCAAATACATTGTCCATGGGAAATGCTGGGCCAAATACAAATGGAAATCATTTTTTTATAACTGTTATTCCATGTTCAGGGCTTGATAACAAACATACCATTTTTGGAAGAGTTTCAAAAGGAATGGATGTTATTGAAAAAATTTCTAAAGCAAAAGCAGATCGACTTGACAAACCTTTAGATGATATTTTATAATTATTTCAATATCTATTAAATAAATGAGATATTATTCTCTCGCCATTATAAAACAAGATTATCTATATGTGTATCTAATAAATGCTGACCATACGACAAGGGGAAAACGGCGGATTTCGGATTTCCGGATTCTCGGGATTCCCATTAATTCGCGGAATTTTTATAACCACAAATGACATTCCCGAAATTCATATTTAACCTCTATGATCCTCACTCTCGTCCTGAACATCTCATAGAACTCAGTGTCAATGCTTCATTGCTTTATCAGATGGTTAGAAAAACTGTGTTAAACTATTGAGGACAATCATTTCCAAGGCGAACCTTTTTTTCGTATGCTTGACCTGTGCAGATGTCCAGGTTTGTCTATAGCATACAAGGGAAAATGACGTACGCCGGTACTCCACAGTATCCATGTACTCTGGCTGGACTCCCTGGATTTTCAGAGTATAGGGAGTTCAATGGAGTCGAATCGGAATGCATGAACTTCATGGACTCTCATAGTAATCTGGAGTTGATGGAGTCCATAGAATACAGTGAGAGTACTAGAAGTCTAGGATGTACGGAAATACTGAAGTACATCATGTTTCCCTTGATTTTATATTACACTCGATGTACTCCATGGTACTTCAGGTACTCCGACTTTACTACGTGTACTCCAGGAATACGGATGTACTTCATTTTCATTTTGATAGCACATCACTTTCTTGTTCAAGAATTTCAAGAAAGTCACGCGTATGGAAGAATAACTTTCATTAAAACTGTGATTAAAAGCAGTAGATATATTTTCATAAGCCGAATTTAATTATTTTCAGTTGAAAAATATTCGATCTGGAAAGTGATTGACACTCGAAACTACCCTTTCTTATATAGAACTTTTTTCTTATGCGCATGAAATGCGCAGTCCTCAAGATGTGTCCATAGCGCATGACGTTCTTGCTCCAGATGCTCATGTGTTTTATGCGCATTGCCCAAAATAGTTCGTCAGAGTTGTCTATTTTGCAAAATTCTATACAAGTAACCTAATTAGATTAGTATCAAGTCCATTTTGACAACACGATAATTTACTTTCTAATTTTTATGGGAAAATGTCCGAGGTAGAATAACAAACAGCAGCAAGGAACAAGATAACTTAATGAGTAATATAAGAAATATGTAGAATCAAATGAATCTAGGGCATCCTATGTGTAACCTTTTATTCATTCAGTAATCTGACAATTGAACATGCTTAAATCAATAAGATAGCAGTACAGCTTTTCTGTCTACTAAAAGACAAGAGACTCTCTATCTATGACTATATTGTTTTTGGCATCAATCTCGACACAAGAGAAAAAGTTTGAAATTGAAGGAGAAATTGGCTTGGAAACTCTTATTACATGAAACCGAGATTTATTGCTAGTTGGCAAAGAAGACAATTATGAATTTTGTCCTAGGATAAGCTATATTTCTCTGATTTGGATAAAAAAGCAACATAAGATTTGGAGTGCTTGCTTGACTCTTGACTCAATGATTTGTAACGATTTTCGTCAGATTAGACAATGCGGATTTTTTTTCACACTAGACTCTTACAAATGATCTACTTTGTTTCATGACAAATTCTCTTGTTTTCTTCCAAGCAAAATTGACATCAAATCTGGAAAGAAGATTATATGCTAGATTGTAAAGTTGAAAAACAGTCTTCTTAAAATGATCATAAAGGAGAAGGACATGAGATAATTTTGAAGCTGATTGTTTCGAAGCCGTCTTTTTCTTGTCTTTTTGTGACACTTTTGAAATCTTTAATGAAAAGTTCAACTCACTGAGTTTGAATGGGAGACAAGATAGAATCTCCATGTACTGGACCGCCTGAACTCTGCTCGAATATTCAAGATCCTCATCAAGTTTCACACTTCTATTCGTTTTGTTTTCTAGCTGTCTGCCTTTTTCTCGAAGATCGAATCGGTACCTTCAGGCTTTCCTTGAATTGTAAAGATCGAGTGATATTTATTCTTTCACAGATTAAAAATTAGCCTAGCCATGACTAAGTCTAGATAAATTTTCTCATAAGATATGCATCAATACTAGAGACACAAAACAGCTCTTCTGTTTCATGTTTCTTTGTCCATGAAAGGGCAGCAAAAACCAGAGTAACATCGATTAGAACTAACCTGTTACGTTTCCTCATTGATCATGTCTATTTTATTAAATGAGTCGTATACTGAACTAATATAAGCTAATCGGCTAATGTATCGTTCGTGTCATTTGGTAAAAAGTCGATAGATTAGTCACCTATGTTATCTTTTTATATTGATATTAACGGGTAGATCATTATTGATCAGTGTAGGAAGAATAGTGTTGACTGCGAAACGACGACTTACTAAGTATTAGATAAAATGAAAAGTTCTCAAGTTCTTATTCGGAGCTAGGCCCTTGGTTCAATTGTAACGGTATATTTGATGTCGAATTTAAACTTGTAGTCCGATTCACCCTTCTACGAATCAATATGAGCGCCATCGTGTAAAACGTTTGAATATTATGATTCAATTTGAAAATAGTCCATTTGAAGTTATTGTCGATCTACTATTACATACAGTTGGTGTGACATGTCCTAATATCGATTCTTTGTACGCGAACACATCCACTTTTTGGACATTATTATTTCTTGTCAGTGCTTGATTTTTCATCCTATCATTCTATTTGTCAGATCATGCAATTCACACCGCACACAATATTTACCGAATGAGTAAAAGAAGTGACGCAGATAATTATATCTTCGCACACTTTCGTTATCGTTTGAAATTGGTATTAAAATATTTACTCTAGAAAGTGTAACTCTCGCCAATATTCATTCGTTCTCTCAGGATATGTTTTTCTCGGCTACGTCATATGTCGAATTAAGCCTTTTTCAGGTAAGCAACACAGAATAAATAAAAAAACTTGATATAAAGCATGGCAGCACAGAAAAGAAACAGAATCGTATATGTTTGTCCAAGAATGTAGATGTCGAATCTGTTAATAATAGTCGTAAAATACAAAGCGCAGTTTAATAATTTCTTCATACGTATCTAGGTCATCACCAAGGCGAAATATAGATATCAGATTTCTTTTTCTGCTGATACTCTACAAAATATCTACGTCAGCGTATGTAGTCAGTGCCTGTATATATATATATATAATCATTTGTGTTATGTTAAAGCATTGGCAAGCGAAAGACAACAAACATTTTGCAAGACATCATGAAAAAGTCTAATGCACTTTTCACCTCGGCACTCTCTTCAACATCATTAACTAGTGATCTTAGCAAATTGGCACACCTTCTCGAAGAGCAAACATCGAAATCGATACCTTCATTCATTTCTCAATCGTTTCGTTCTTTACTTATCATCGAACATTGGACATGGAAAGTACTTGGTAGTAATTCTCGACAATGGATCGATGAGCAATGCTATACGAAACTATTTTATGCTCTTGCATCGTTCAATATGAAATTGATTTTCTGTCAGGATGATATTGAAACTGATACAAAAGTATCTCTTCTCGTTCCCGATACCATCGAACGCATCAACAATGTGTTCGAACAAATCAATAGAACTGACGATGCAACGGATGAGGCATATTTTAAAATCGTTAACCTTTGGTTCGATGTTCTCTCACATTTAATCCATGAATATAATGAGCATGTTTCATCTGATATCGTCAATCATATCAATTACTATATCGGCTATCATTATCTGATGAGTGATCAGTACAAATTTTATTTAACCCAACTTCGAGAACCGAATCTGCAAGACTCCGTATTTACTAATAAATTACTCTTCTATATCAGAACGTGTACATTATCGGTAAACATAAGTTTGTATCAAACAAATGAAAAGTTTTCTTATACTATCGATGAGATTCTCGAACATTTCGCGAAAGATTATTCGGAAATAATTC